GGCCCCCGGTCGGGCCCGGGGCCTGTGAGTGCCCTCCCCCAGCGAGCCGGCGAGCTGCCGTGTCACCGCCCCGAGTTTGGCTTAGTTGAAGAAACGACGAGCTTCCCCCACGTTTCCGTTCAGTAACTGCTTGCTTTTATAACCACGGGTGTATATCGGAGTTTTCTCACGTTTGGGTAATAACCAGCCGTTGAGTGTTCATAGCACGCAGGATTTTCTTACAGATTCATAGGGAGATTGTTTGTGTTTCTGTATGTACTTAGTAGAGGGTGACTTGTCTTCTCAGGAAAGAGCCCACATATTGCAGTTTACAAGGATGCCCGTAAGCCATTAGTCAGTCCCCTTTAGTACCTCTTTAGGCGTTGGTTCTTCTTGTCTGGTAGGACCAGATGCGTTCTGCGTGCCTCTGGGTTTGCTTTGTGCTCTCTGGCATCACCTCTTTCACATAAGAGGGGTCTTCGGGTTTAATACACAGCACATGAACAGTGCTTTGCCCCTGACGCTAGAGGAGAAGAAGCTAAAGCACGTTTCTCTTGCCTGCTCATTTGTCAATCTTTAATATTCCTCTGTGATTCGCTTTGTGTAAATTTTTCTCTCTTTTTATGTTGCTCCATGTAGTTGCAACAACATCTTCCCTCTTGTGCATGCAGCGTTGTTGCTTAAAGAAGTTCAGTGTTTTCATTTCTCCATTGCTGACTGACAGCTTCGACCTCCACTCTGCGTTGCACAGCTTTCTGTCTCGGGTCTGAGCTGTTTGCGCAGCGTGCCCTGCAGTGCAAAGCATGTGGGGCACGTAGGGATCTTTGTAGGGAGCCAGGAGTGTGCCGAGTCCAGTTGTTTAAAAATGTAATTTTGGTGAAGCCGATGAAGGTTTTCTGTGTGGTCTGTGCTATGCTTATCCCTGTTTGTTATCATCCTCTGTGGTGTAACCTAAGTGTAAACTTCTCCTTTGATACGCAAGCAGGTTTGCATCACCTGAGTCCATTTCTTCTTGAAGTGGCATTGCTTGTGTTCAGGTATGTTAAATGGCTTTGTGCTTAATAATTAACCATAAATCTGTCTTTTCGCTTTGGAAGCTGAGACGACAACCCAGGACTGCAGTCTGGTGTGGCTGAAGTGTTGTTCCCCGTACTCGGTGTGCATAACTCTGTATTTTTGTTTTTCTTCTTCAGATGATGAAAGTCACACAGAATCAAAGCTTCAGCACGAACAAGAGAAATCGAATTCTCTTCCCATTCCTTCAGTTTCCAAGCGAATTGTGCTTGGTGATTCAGTCTGTAACGTGGCGGGCACAGCTGACCACACAGGCATCGTGGCAGACCACAAAGTGGATAAGGACTTGTTTAGTAAAACTCCAGAGCTTGTCAGTGAGGGAACGAGCGATCTCCGTCACCGAAACAGAGGGGAACTGTCATCTGAAGCTGCACCACGGCCACCTCGACATGGTTTAGAGCAGTACTTATCCAGGTTTGATGAAGCTCTGAAGCTGAGGAACCAGCTGATGAATGAGAAGCCAAGCCAAGAGAATGGGAATGCGGTGGAGGAGTTTGACTCTTTCCGCATTTTTAGATTGGTGGGATGTGCTCTGCTTGCCCTCGCAGTCAGGGCTTTTGTGTGCAAGTACTTGGTGAGTTCAGGGAAACAATCAATCCTATTCCATTGTGCTAGTTAACTGTGAACCTACTGTGAAATAACCTTTACATAGGGCTGAAGTCTGTCAGTAGTGGCTGAACTGGGAACTTCAGGCACTGTTTACACTTCTAACAACCCTATAAAAGGTAAAAATGTTTCTGAGAAGAATCTGGGCCACCTAACAGGCACTGTGTGACAGCTGAGAGGAGCACAGGTTTGCTCAGCAGAAGCACTGGAATAGTTGCTGCTTAAGTCCCCTGCAAGTTTATTCCCATCTTTGTGAGCAGAAGTCTCTTCTAGTCTAGAGTCTACAAAAGAATGATAAAGAAAAGTAGTTGTCCCAAAATAAGCAGCTCCTGCTCATGTATCAGTCTTCTGAGAAAATGAGGTCCACGGTGCGTGGTACGGAGGCTGGTACAGCCCTGCCACCTCCTGGGCCACTGGGTTTGTTCTACACACTGCTGGATGCTTCTGCCATTTCAGGGGTTTAGGCTTAAATTAAATAAGGCAGAACCTAATTTCGGGCATGTCACTTATCTACTTAGATTTGTATTATTCAAGAATACTGTTGCTATTGTCCAGAAATTATTTTTTTACGTACCTCATTTTCTTTCATGACTCGGGAAGCGCTAAATTTCTGTGGGTTTTGTAGCCATCACGTCTGGCCAAGTTAATTGTAATGTATTTTTTTCTGTTCCTTTAGTCCATATTTGCACCATTTCTTACTCTACAACTTGCTTACATGGGACTGTCCAAGTACTTTCCAAAGGTAACATTTTAATTTTTTTTCCAGAGTTAGTTTAAAATGTTTTAAATTTAAAACTTGTGCTTAGATCATATTGTTTTAGGACTGATGCCTGTGAAGGGTTCTTCCTTTGTTTTAAACTGTAGAATTGAGAGTTACCGAATGCTCATAGGTTATACTAGTTTCTAATCTTACCAGATTGAGTCCAAATGTTAAAGTTGCTGTGACAATGTGGACTAGCAACCTTTTTAACAGTGCCCTAATTAAAAGACAAGTAGTTCTTTCTTGCTTTTGTCCTAGACCCTGCTCTTCTGTGGTTACTGTGGGCTTTGTCAGCAGCTGTTTTACACTTGATACCTGGACAAAGTGTGGGAGGGTGTTGGTTAAAAAATGAGATAGCCCCTCGGTTTTAAGAACTCTCCATTTCATTACTAGTATAAGTTTGAATAGCAGCTCCGAATGAGACATTTATTTGTGTGGAAAACTCGCTGCTTATTTGCTCTGTCACCTGCTTTATATTTACACCAGTTAATTGTGTTGAAGCACTTCTTTGGTTGATGTTTTTGTCAGGTCGTTAGTGCAAAGTGGGGGATTGAATGGTGCTCGATCTGTACTTGAAAGGCAAAATTTGCATTTTAAAAGGAATAAGATATTACCAGTAGAACATCAGAATTTTGGTATTAAGTATATCATTGAAAACTAAACTTCATAGTAGTCATTCTAAGCCAACGTGTCACAACACAAAACAGTAGAATTAACAGGAGATTTGCACTAACTCATCTGCTAGATATTTTGGATCTTTTTTCTGCTGTCTTTGAAATCAGCTCTTGAGTTTCAGAATTTGAAGAGGTCCCCCAACTTGCTTTAACTGCACTTGTACCCAGATGAGGTGAATCAGCTTGTTATCTTTGGGTTTTCTCTCATGAAACCTAAAAACTGGTAGCCACTGTCGCCTTTTCCTGCTGGTCAGACTTTGCATCGTCAGCATTTCCTCATCCTCAGACTTTTCAGAAGGGCTTTTGCGCCTTTCTGAGTTGAGGAGATAAAATCGCCTAACGGAATCGTACCGATATAGAAAGAAATAGTTTTCTGTGTTAGAAAAGTAATGGTATTTTTTGCCAAGCAGTGCGATGAGATTAATCCTGTTCTGCCGGCGGAGACGCCTGCCTTGTCTTCTTATGCTCAGGCTGTCCTGCCTTGTCTTCTTACACTCAGCTTGTCCTTCCCACTCGTGCAGAAGCTGCTTCACAGCCCCACGTTACAGCCAGCGTGAAGCAGGCACAGTATCTGCGATAAAGTTTATCTGGAGTGGGCCTGGAGAGAATCAATCCAAACCTGCTTCTGTACCCCAGGAGTTTGAAATGTGCTTGGCGAGTGTGGGCAGCGTAGGATGTCTAAAAGTGGAACTGAATCGCAACAGAAGAGCTGAGATAACACTGTTGTGTTGTTTTTTCTTTTAGTGTGAGAAGAAGGTGAAAACAACAGTACTAACTGCTGCTCTGTTGCTGTCTGGAATCCCGGCAGAAGTGATTAGTCGCTCCATGGACACCTACAGCAAAATGGGAGACGTTTTCACAGACCTTTGCGTCTATTTCTTTACTTTTATCTTTTGTCATGAACTCATTTTGTTTTTTGGTTCTGAAGCACCCTGATGGCTCTAAAATTCAAGGCGGTAGTTACGCTAAAGCTCTCTGGATTGTATTCCTTCAACGTCTGACTGTGCAGACAGGTTTAAACATTAAAATTCTTAGCCGTTCAAATGTTTGAAAGGAGCCTTAAATCCAGTCATTTTGGGAAAGGAATTGCGGGGTCCCAGGCTCCCAGTTGTGTTCCATTTATTTAAATATTGTGTCTGCCTGTTACAAATGTGAAGAGTAGGATGCAAGTGTCAGTGGATGATTTCAGTTTAATTAGATGATGCCCTTCTCAGCCTCCTTCACAAACATTTACAAAGCTGCATTTGTTCTCTTCAATGAGAACAAAGAGAATTCCTTTCAGCAGAACCATATATATATATATATATATGTATCTCCATTATGACTCCAGCTAACAAGAACTGCTCATTTTGTGGTGTTCCCATTTTTAAAAGAAACCTCTAAACCGAACAAATCCCCGTGTTCCATTGTTCAAACTCGGAATGTTGAACCAAGTAGCTGCTTCTGGAGAATGTTGGTGAAACATGCCACTTGGTTGTCCCAATCCTTGCCTTGCTATACGTTGTTGTGATTGTGCTTGATTTTCCTTGGCCGTAGCGCGAAACAGCGAAGTGTAACCGACAGCTTACAAGTGTCACTCAGCAAAAAGTAGGAAGAAACAAAACTGTTAATCTCACCTGGTTCTGTGTTTCCAGCAGCCTCATCCTGGTGTAGCTCACACACGTGATTTCATTTCGATGCCTTTTTGTTATTTTAACCGTTCATCCCAGGAGAGGAAAGTTGGGCATTTCAGCAACCAACCTGCCCTAGCAAATGTTTCCTCTTCTGTAGGTGAAACTTAACTTTTTTTTTTCCCCCTAACTCCTTGCAGGATTGCATAAACCAGCCCTTAATACAACAGTAATTTCTGCCGTTTGTCTATTTTGCAGTGAAGGGAGAAGAGCATTTTGTATGTTTTTCAGCAGCGTCAGACAAATGCAGATGAGTCTGGTCACTGGATAAAGTACGAGCGAGCGAAGGCTCTTGTTTTCTGTCTCTTACGAATTTTGCACAGTGAGAGGAAACGTCATTCCAAGTAGTCTGATAATCTGTAAAAATTTATGTTGAAGCTAAATTGGATAATATTTTCAACTTATTTTGTGTTTGGAATCTGAACTTTCAAGTAATCTAGACCAATCTTTTTTATCTTTTTGTTTTTTTAGCAGAGCGAAATATCTACTTGTCTCGGTATTTGCAGATTTTTCTTTAGAGAGCAAAAGCATTTGATTGTGCCTCTTTAAAGTACATGTCCCTGCTTTCTGCTTATTCTTTTCTGTCAAAGCTTCCTGCTGTAGTTCTAGCACTGCATTTCTGTCTCCTCAGATGGTTGGTTTGTGGCATGAAAACAAGAAGCTTACGTTTTGATTTCACAATTTTCATGTTTTTACTAATTATTTTACAGGGGTTTTTTACAGATTATTTACTACTATGTTACAGGTGGCTGTGGCTGGGCTGCAGAAGATTCTGACTTAGGTCTATTAGCACCAATATTTATTCACAAGCTTTAAATTTGTTGATATTAGGAATCTCACCAAATTGAAGTGACTGTCATTTAAATTAAGGTTGAGACATGTAAATAATGAATCTGCATGAAGGTTACACTTGTTCTCTCTATTTATATGCCCAAAGTAACACAGAGAAATTGCAAAAATAATGTGCACTAATATCTGCAAGCAGCACTTAATTTTTAAACCTCGGCATAAAAAATTTAATCCTGATCAGCTAAATACTAAGAAAAGAGCCGAGCCACCTGCTGTATGTTCACTCAGCCTCTCCCACTGTCCTTATTTGCAAGGAAAGACAAAGCAAGTTTTCTTTTTAAGTGGTGAAAGTTCCTAACCTGGAACTTTTCAGTCCATGAACACTTTTTTTTTTGTCAGAGGGCTTCAGCGTGGCACCAAGAGGGGCTTGCGCTAAACGACCTAGGTCGAGAAACGAATCCCTTTTATTCCGTTTCTAACTTGCCTCTGTCCGTGTACATAATTCTATTTAATGTTTATTGCCAAACTGATTGTTTTCTATTAAAAGTATATTTGTTACCCCTTCCTTGGTGCTTTGGCCTGGCTGGGGAAGGAGTAGGGGGAAGCGTGGCCGAAACCTGGGACCGG